AAAAGAGATGAATTGACTCATCTTAGTGAAGTTTCACTTTGATTCTTATTGTCTTAATTTGAACAATTTGAATTTTACATTTTCAGTTTTGTTGTAATGTGGTCCATTTGTCACTTACCGTTAGAATTTTGAACTGAAAAAGTTCACGTGCAAAAATTAGAGGGACCAAAGTGAAATTCAGAATAAACTATAGAAGACAATTTGAACCACATACTTCCAGTTTTTTTGCAATATGGTCCCTTTGTTACGTGTCGTTAACATTTTAAAAGGAGAAAGAACACATGCAAAAATAGAAGGATCAAAGTAGAATTGAGAAGTTGTTCCAAAAAAAAAAAGAGTGGAATTGAGAAGAACTATAAAGACCACCAGTGGTTCTCATTGATTTTTTTTTTTTTACTTTGCTTCCAGTAATTTTGCATGTGATCTTTTATATTCAAAATTCTAACTATAAGTGATGAAGGGATTACATTAACAAAACTGAAAGTAAAGGATACAAATTGAAATTATGAGAACTAAAGTGAAATTTCACTCAAAGTAGAGGAACCTACAGTGTAATTTACCCCCCAAAAAATTCTTCAATTTTTCATCCAAGATTTTAGTTTTTTCCCATTTTAAAATTATTTATTTTATTTTCTACTAGGAAAATAGTTGGTGTATGGTTTTAAGTAACCCAAATGAACAAAGTTTTTAAGTCTACCTCCCACTACAAGAAATAACACTTTTAGCGACCAACTTTTTGGTCGCCGAAAGATAATATATGATCGCTAATAGTATTTAGCGACCAACAAAATTTGGTCGCCATATAGTCGCAAAAATTGTTGAAGATTGAGCATTTGTGACGAAAAAATTGGTCGTTGAAACGAAGGTTTTTGGTGACCAAGAATGAAGTTGGTCGCGGAAAGTTACCATTAGCGACCATATAGTTTCGTCACTAAAAGGATTTAAATTTGTTAAGAATGTTCATTTGCGACAAAATACTAGTCACGGAAATGATTGTTTTTGGCGACCAAGAATTAAGTTGGTTGCGGAAAGTTTATGTTTTAGCGACTACATTAGTGGTCGCCAATAGATATTCCTAGAACCTTACTGCGACTAAAATCTTATTGGTTTCAAAAAAGCTTTTAATTTCAAAATTGAATTTTTTAAATAAAATGCTATTTTTTTTAATACCTATAATACATTTGCAGTTAGTACATAATTCATGTCCATCCAATTAATTTCACTATACCAATCAATCAACAATCCAATCTAAAAACAAAGAGCGTTCAATTATAAAGTCAAAATAGTAGTTAATGTATGTAATTACAACTACCTATCAACATGAACACAGCACACGTCCAAAAGAACCATCCTTCCTTATGACCATCCAAAATAACCATCCATCCTCACAACAAATTCACCACATCAAAAAATATTTACAAAACCATCAAAGATTTCAAATGTATGTCATATTTGTCCAATGCAAAGTATCTCAAAAACTCCACGTATAAGCACAACTTAGAATTAATGCACAAGCAATCAATGCTCTTTGTCATGAACTTATCTTCCAGCGCCTTCCAAAGCTTCTTCGCAATATCATATTCTGTAAAGGCATACTTCTCCTCTTTTGCAAGGTAAAGTCGGATGGAACTGCAGGCCAGGAGATTCACCCTTTCCCATTCTATCTCGTCCAGGTCATCTGGTTTGTCTCCTAGAGTGAAGTGCAGGTTCATTTGGACAAGCATATCCTTAACTTTGCATCTCCACATGCCGAAGTTGCTGCTTCCATCGAACTTCTCTACCTCGAACTTGGCATGGGACACCGGGGTCTAATGCCTAGAAGTGCTTGTACTGGCTGGATTACTTACGGACTCGGTTGCTCTAGATTCTGCCATTTTTTTTTTAGAAACTTCAATTCAAAAAACTGTTCGTACAGATGTGTCCGGAATACTCCAAATAGTTGGGAAGCACTATTGGATCGTCAAAAACGGACTCCGAATGGCTCCGATCTGGCAAAAACACTTTGGATGGGTCAGATCTGCAGAATCTGGTGTGCTGAGATGCACCGGATAATTTCTCCCGAGTAGGTAGTCTGTTGACAAGATGACGAGCATAGTTCAATGCCTCGCCCCAAAATGCCTTGCTCAATCCAGACTGTGTCAGCATACACCGGACTTTCTCCACCAAAGTGTGGTTCATGCGTTCTGCAACTCCATTCTGCTGCGGTGTTCCAGGAACTGTGAAATGTCTTACTATCCCTGTATTCTGGCAAACCTCAAAGAAGGGATCTGATGTATATTCTCCACCATTGTCAGATCTGAGCTTCTTGATCCGTCTGCCTGTCTGGGTCTCAATCATCTTCTTCCACGTAAGAAAGATGTCTAAGACTTCATCTTTGTGTTTCATTGTATAAATCCAAACTCTTCTAGAGAAATCATCAATGAACGACACAAAGTAGTGTTTACCTCCCAACGAAGCATTCTTGGAAGGACCCCATACGTCGGTGTGGAGGTAGGCTAGAATCCCTTTGGTATGGTGAATTGCAGTACCAAACTTGATTCTTGTATGCTTGCCCAATGCTCGCAGAACTCAAGCTTCCCTGTCTTGGCGCCTTTCAACAGGCCTTGCTTTACCAATCCTTGTAAAGCCTTCTCACCGATATGCCCTAGGCGCATGTGCCAAAGTTTGGAAGTGTCTGATGCATCATCTTCTGAGCTGGAACTGGTCTAGACAGCCACTCTCCCTGTGCCTGTAGAGCCATCTAGGAAATATAAATTTCCCTGTCGAGTACCCTTCATTGCAACTAATGCTCCTCGAACAACTTTCAGGACTCCACCTTCCATGGTTATTCTGTAACCTTTGGAGTCTAAAACTCCCACTGAGATGAGATTCTTGGTTAGATCTGGTACATACCGTACATCTTCAAGCATTCTGATTGTTCCATCATGGATCTTCAGTTTAATTGTTCTAATCCCCTTTGTCTGGCAAGCTTGGTCGTTGCCCATCAGCACAACTCCTCCATCGAACTCTCGTAAGCTCGAGAACCACTATTTGTTAGGACACATATGGAATGAACATCCGGAATCTATTATCCATTCATCCGACTGGCCATATGATGAAACTGTGAAGGCTCCTCCTTCATCATTATCTCCATCTCGTGCAATATTCACCTTCTCTTCTGTCTTGTCTTTATTTGGACAATCTTTTGCCCAATGCCCCTTCTGGCGACAAGCTGCACACTCGTCTTTTGCAAGACGTCTTTTGTCTGAAGGTTTCCCCCTGGATTTTGAGCGAGACTTTCCTCGCCTTGTATTTCTTCTGTTATTTGTTCTGCCTCTGACTGTTAATGCCTCGGATGTTGAGTCCCTGTTTGCAGACTTATCTTTCCTTCTGAACTCATTGTTCACCAAGGCGTTTGCAACATCAATATACTTGATCTTCTCTTTACCGTACAGTAAAGTAGTAGTGAGATGATCATACGAGTCAGGCAAGGAATTTAACAATAACAGTGCTTTGTCTTCATCACCAACTTGATCATCCAAATTCTTCAAATCCGTAATAATTTTGTTGAAGTTATTTAGGTGTTCGTTCATCGAAATACCTTTAATGTAGTCGAAACGAAACAACCTCTTCCTCAAGTAGAGCCGGTTCTCAATGCTCTTTGTCATGAACTTATCTTCCAGCGCCTTCCAAAGCTTCTTCGCAATATCATATTCTGTAAAGGCATACTTCTCCTCTTTTGCAAGGCAAAGTCGGATGGAACTACAGGCCAGAAGATTCACCCTGTCCTATTCTATCTCGTCCATGTCATCTGGTTTGTCTCCCAGAGTGAAGTGCAGGTTCATTTGGACAAGCATATCCTTAACTTCGCATCTCCACATGCCGAAGTTGCTGCTTCCATCGAACTTCTCTACCTCGAACTTGGCATGGGACACCGGGGTCCAATGCCTAGAAGTGCTTGTACTGGCTGAATTACTTACGGACTCGGTTGCTCTAGATTCTGCCATTTTTTAGAAACTTCAATTCAAAAAACTGACCGTACAGATGTGTCCGGAATACTCCAAATAGTTTGGAAGCACTATTGGATCGTCAAAAACGGACTCCGAATGGCTCCGATCTGGAAAAAACACTATGGACGGGTTAGATCTGCAGAATCTGGTGCGCTGAGATGCACCGGATAATTTCTCCGGTCAACGGCTGGTCAACGGCTCGGTCAACGGCGCAGGCGGCGCGGTCAACGCGGCTGACGGCTGGTCAACTCGGCTTGGTCAGCGGCTCAGGCTGACTGGGCAAGACACGTGGCACCCTTTGCTGACGTGTCGCCACGTGTTACCGACGTGGCACGCTGACGCGGCCTGCGCGTGTTGTACACGCGCCTTCCCCACTCGTCTTCTTTCTTCAGCCGCGCGTGGAGCGCGTGCGTGAGACTGGGCCGATGCGCCGGCTGTCCTCACGGCGCGTGGTAGCGCGTGCAGAGACTGGGACTCACGCGCGTTTTTCAGAGAGCGCGTGAGAGCGCGTGTGGAGTCTTCTGGGCTCTGTTTTTGCTGTTCTGGACTCCTCTCGGGGAGTTCTTCCTCCTGGTATGGTCAAAAGTGGATTTTGAGCACTTCGAAATCTGGGCACTTTCGGGAAAAATTCGATTTTTCGCAACCCGAGCTCTGATACCAATTGTTGAGGATCGGGGGCACACCAGGGAACTCAAACAAGCAATATCACACAAGATTTAACGTGGTTCGGCAAGTCGCCTACGTCCACGGGCAGCGGATTCACTATATTGAACAAAATGGTAAGAATTACAACACTCTCTGTAATTCTCTCTCTCTTTGCTCTCTAAGCTCACACCCCTCAGTTGTGCCTCAACTCTCCTTAGCTTCTCTATATATAGAGATTACAAATGCAAGAGGAATTGAGCTGGCTGCCAGCCTATTTCGGTGGCTTTCCCTTCATGGCCTCATGGTATGGCCTCATGGCCAACTCATGGCTTCCCTACCATGTAGCTGGCTGCTACTTTCCTTCACATGGAAGAATCTGTAGCCAACTCAACACTCCCATCTCAGTACATCATGCCTGATATGTCAGAAATGGTGTTCGCCATCGCTTATATCCCTACTGCCGTTTACTGGACTATTCGGAGTATTGTGGCATATGTTTCTGAAATCATGAACCTTATTGGCATGGGACACAAGTATGTTCTCTTTATAAATCAAACTCTTTGGAAATTTATTCAGTAGTCTCGAACTAACAAAGGTGCTCCTGACCAACAAAAGAGCACCAAAAGAGATGAATTGACTCATCTTAGTGAAGTTTCACTTTGATTCTTATTGTCTTAATTTGAACAATTTGAATTTTACATTTTCAGTTTTGTTGTAATGTGGTCCCTTTGTCACTTACCGTTAGAATTTTGAACTGAAAAAGTTCAAGTGCAAAAATTAGAGGGACCAAAGTGAAATTCAGAATAAACTATAGAAGACAATTTGAACCACATACTTCCATTTTTTTTGCAATATGGTCCCTTTGTTACGTGTCGTTAACATTTTAAAAGGAGAAAGACCACGTGCAAAAATAGAAGGATCAAAGTAGAATTGAGAAGTTGTTCCCAAAAAAAAAAGAGTGGAATTGAGAAGAACTATAAAGACCACCAGTGGTTCTCATTGATTTTTTTTTTTTTACTTTGCTTCCAGTAATTTTGCATGTGATCTTTTATATTCAAAATTCTAACTATAAGTGATGAAGGGATTACATTAACAAAACTGAAAGTAAAGGATACAAATTGAAATTATGAGAACTAAAGTGAAATTTCACTCAAAGTAGAGAGACCTATAGTGTAATTTATCCAAAAAAAATTTCTTCAATTTTTTCATCTAAGATTTTAGTTTTTTCCCATTTTAAAATTATTTATTTTATTTTCTACTAGGAAAATAGTTGGTGTATGGTTTTAAGTAACCCAATTGAACAAATTTTTTAAGTCTACCTCCACTACAAGAAATAACACTTTTAGTGACTAACTTTTTAGTCGCCGAAAGATAATATATGGTCGCTAATAGTGTTTAGCGACCAACAAAATTTGGTCGCCATGTAGTCGCAAAAATTGTTGAAGATTGAGCATTTGCGACGAAAAAATTGGTCATGGAAACGAAGGTTTTTGGCGACCAAGAATGAAGTTGGTCGCAGAAAGTTACCATTAGCAACCATATAGTTTCGTTGCTAAAAGGATTTAAATTTGTTAAGAATGTTCATTTGCGACAAAATACTAGTCACGGAAATGATTGTTTTTGGCGACCAAGAATTAAGTTGGTTGCGGAAAGTTTATGTTTTAGCGACTACATTAGTGGTCGCCAATAGATATTCCTAGAACCTTACTGCGACTAAAATCTTATTGGTTTCAAAAAAGCTTTTAATTTCAAAATTGAATTTTTTAAATAAAATGCTATTTTTTTTAATACCTATAATACATTTGCAGTTAGTACATAATTCATGTCCATCCAATTAATTTCACTATACCAATCAATCAACAATCCAATCTAAAAACAAAGAGCGTTCAATTATAAAGTCAAAATAGTAGTTAATGTATGTAATTACAACTACCTATCAACATGAACACAGCACACGTCCAAAAGAACCATCCTTCCTTATGACCATCCAAAATAACCATCCATCCTCACAACAAATTCACCACATCAAAAAATATTTACAAAACCATCAAAGATTTCAAATGTATGTCATATTTTTCCAATGCAAAGTATCTCAAAAACTCCACGTATAAGCACAACTTAGAATTAATGCACTGGCAAACTCGGGCCTATAAACATGCATGATTACGCCTTTAGCTACCTGTAATAAAAAATTTGAAAAAAACATTGTTAATAATAATATTTTTGTTTACATTTCTATTTTAATTTTGTCAAAATCTATGGATCTAACTCTACTTCCAAAACTAACAATCACACATAGCCTAATTGCCCAGTTCAAAAAAAAAAAAAAAAACACATTAGTTTGTTGTGTATGATAGGGATGTCACTATAGTCTTGAAGACATAGTTTTCAACTGTTAAGCAATAGTAAATAAATTAATGAAGCGCTACCTGAATAATAATTAGAAAGCTGGAATTTTCGATATGACAAAGATAATGACTCAAATCATATATAAAATCAGCGGGTGAAGGTTGAATTATTTTTTGACACAAACCTTAAATGGATTAGATTAATGTCGAACTTGCAAAATAATAGGATATAACTTAACACGAAGCTAACACGAAAAATTTGTTTAATAAAAAATTTGTTACACATTTTTAAGGGTAAATTATGACAGTAGTACTTTAATTCTTGTGTCATTTTGATCCTTATAATTTTAATTAGCTCAATTTTAACTCTAAATTTATGTTTTTGTTTCAATTTGATTCAATTGATTACAACTCTTAGCATTTTTAATGAAAAATATGCATATAAGTAGCATGTGTCATATTTTTTTAGAGTAAAATTATAAATTTACTAACCTCAGTGAGTTAACCTCAACCAATTCAATGATTATTTTTAATCAAAAACACTAATGGTATGATCAATTGGACCAAATTGACACAAAAATTAAAATTATCAGTCAAAATTGTGTCAGTTAAAAGTGTAAGAACCAAAATGACATAAGAGACAAAATGTAAAGATCACCAATAGAATTTGCCCTATTTTAATGTTATTTCCAGTAAGAGGTGCCCTAAGATTTCTGAATTCCTTGTACAACTTCATCCAACTGCAAGTAGAACGCAATTTTTGTGGAGTCAATCTAATAAAAAATCATAATAATAAGGTTTTATTTTATTTTTTGAGAAAACATAATTTTAACCTCGAAAGTATCACTTACAAATTAATTTAACCTCTATTATTTTAATAATTTCAATTTTATACTTAATTATTCAATTTTGTATCAATTTTACCTTCACCGTCAATTGTTGTCTGTAATCAAACAAAATTTATTGATGAGGCATATAAACTTTATTTAGAATTTCAATTTACCCTCGAACTATTCCTTAAATATCAATTAGATCCCTAAATAAAATGAAATTTAGGAGTCTAATTGATATTTTAGAGAGTTTGGGGATAAATGAAATTTTAAATAAAGTTTTAGTGCCACATCAGCAACTTCTGTTTGATTACGAACAGCAGCTAACGGTAGCGATAAAATTGATTCAAAATCAAATAATTTAAGTATAAAATCGATATTATTAAAAGAACCTAAATTGAATTGATTTTTGAATAATAATTTAAGAAGGAAAATGATTTTTTATTTATTTATTTATTCTTTTAACTCGTTGAAAATTTTTTAATTTTGCCATTCACTTTTGTTTGTACCTCAAAAAGAGTCAAGGCATTCATGTGTTAATGCACGAGAATGCTATGAGTTGTGACAAAACCCTTTGGTTCGTTTGTTTTCAGAGATAGAATGGAAGGGATTGATAATAAGGGGATTAATAGTGAGGAATTGTTAAATTATTTTTATATAAAATAATAAAACAAATAAAAAGTATAAAAATTAAACATTAATATTTTAAAAAAAAATTTCAATATGTAAAAAATAAAAAAAATTCTGATCCTCTTACTATTTTTCTAATACTATCTCTACCTCTTTACTATGAATCCCCTCCCCAAGGGTATTAGTAATACCAAGGTATTAGTAGTACCCTCCCCATCTCTCAAAACAAACAAGGTATTAGTAATACCAAGGTATTACTAGTCCCAATACCCTTCCTATAACCCCAAATAAACGGGACCTTACACAATAATACGTATCGGATATCTAAGCATATGAGTGATATATAATCACTCACATCTCTATTTTATGATGAAATGAGACTATCAGAGTTTCTATATTTATCCTCTATATAAATAATTTTAAAAGTATTTATAAGGAGACTCTCAAAATTATTGAGAAGTATCACTTTAATTTCGCTAAACAATAAAGGTGTACGAATAAACTTTGAAGTATCATTTTACTTCTTAAACTATAAAAATGTATAAATAAACTCCCTAAACTATTGATGTGTTTTACTTTGACCCATTTCATTAGACGATTCAATTTGTACACTTTTATAATTTAGGATTTCGTTTGTACGTTTTTATAGTTTAAATAATAAAGTGATAATTCTCAATAGTTTAGAGGGTCTAATTGTATGCTTTTATATTTTAGAAAATTAAAATAATACTTTTCAATGATTTATGAAATTTTATGTAAATAATCCTAATTTTAATTCACATGAGTCTTTTTTTTTTTTTTTTGTTACAGGAAAATCCAGGAAAATCCTCCTTACCCTCCGGCAGGTCCAAGGCAGCGTCCCTTACAAAGATCACCAAGGTGTCCTGTTAGCCGTTCCGAGCGAGGAGACTATAACCTGGGAACTTGCCCCGACCTCCCAAGACAAGCTCCGCTTAAGTCAGGACTCGCACAGCGGGGGGAGCATTGAACCCACACCAAGTGCTGACTAGACAACTTGAGGTCCAACCTCCTAACCAACAGTGCTTCGCCCAAGAGATTGGCCCAAGAGAAGAATTGAACTTGTGACCTTGGGGCTTAAACCCCAAGGCCTTACTACAATGCTACAACTGCTTGGGTTATTCACATGAATCTCTTCATGGATTAGTCGTCATGTCATCATGGACACTCAACCTCGAGTATGAAATCTGACTCAATTTCCTATAAATTATAACCGAAAATGATATAAAAACTAAATAAATTGAATTAATATTAATATGAATTCAAAATAACATGAAAAAACACAGACTCCCATAATACTCACATTTTCAAAGACCACAAAGATTGTTGGTAAATTTTACGTTTGGTGTCAGGTACATAACATTAGAGGTAGAGCAGCTTTCTAGCCTGGGCTATAAGGTCAACAACATACATAACCAACTGCAAAAGCAACTGGCACCTTGTTATGAATACCTTGGTTAGTTTAACCCCATTTACCTCATTTGTATTAGAGTAAATTACAATTTAACCTTCTCCATTGTTATTAAATCACTTATTTTAATTTTAATATCGTACATTTAGACCATTTAATTATTAAAAAAAATACCAATTAAAGCTTTCTATTACATGATAGTATATAGTAAATGGAATGGAATGGAATTGACATAAAGTAAACTTTGATATGATGTAGATAAAGAAGGATACTTTGATTCATTTCATACGCTTGCTCGCCTCTTGGAGACAGTACACATTGACAACACGAAGATCTTGAAAGCTTTGATATTTGCCAAGGAAGATCAGTTGCCACTGATTGATGGTAATACTAAGACAAGGGTTTGCTCACATTCATATATCCTATTTATGTACTACAGTATTTTACATCAAATTTCATTGTAATTTCTCATTTTTTAATTTTAATAGTCAACCCTTTTCACCTTCGTTCGAATTGCAACATAACCCTTTCCTTAATTTGGTGTTTAACATTATGATGATAGAAGTTGTAATTTAACCATAATCTATCATCTCTGACTTCTTGAAAAGTTTCCATTGATTAATCTTTTTTGTATGACAAATGCAGGTTCACATAGATGTGTTGAGAAGGAAGAATGTGTTGCTACTCATTTCAAACGTAGACCTCTTCTATGAAGAACATTTCTTTCTCCATCAGTTGTACATAGAGGCACAACAACACCCAAAGGAGAATCAGTATGTGGTTGTGTGGATCCCTGTCATGAAGGAAACAATCCCATGGGACGAGGTGCATCAAAACAAGTTTAAGCATATACAAGCTTCAATACTATGTGTTAGCAGATATTTAATATTATAATGTGTTATAGATTGGGCTCCAAAATAACTTGTTCTCCTAGTTAATCCTTTCTTTTCCTCCAAGAATCTTGTCCACTAAGTTTCCTCTTCTTCAAGACACTTTCCCACTAAGTTTTCTCTCCTATAAATTGAGTCTTTCATCTCTCTTTTTGTGAGCTCAATTTTCTTATTTGTAAGATTATCAGGCAAATAAAAAAGGTGTATCTGTAAAACTTTGGGTTCAACCAATTGTGCAGTATTGGTTAAGCATACGACTTAGTCGGGCTATTGTATCCTGGGGGGTCAAGTCAAGGTTTTTTCTACTGCACCGGTGTGAGGCTTTACCTAACCGCAGAGGGCTTGAATCTCCTTAAAAAGAGCAAATTTCCTTCGTCTCAACCCTTACAATAGTTATTGTAATTTTTATTATTTGTATTTTCTGGTGTTTTATTTGTAATTATCACCAACAATTTTAAGGAGATTCAAACAGCAAAATTTATTGAGCCAGTATTGAAGAAGCTCAACGACAATACCAGTGATCTCAACAAGCCCTTCCAGTTCAAGGGAGCCCATTTCAAGAGATGGAAAGGCAAGGTGCTTTTCTACCTCAGTCTTTTCAAAGTGGCCTATATCTTGGCCAAGAAAAATCCGAACAAAGTCTCCATTGAAGAGATGATCGACGAGGAGTATGCCGCTCATCTTGAAAAAATTGAGAAATACAACACAGATGATTATAAATGTCGGTATTATCTTTTGAATTGACTTTCGAATCAATTTTATGATTATTATGATACTACTTACACCACTGCCAAGAAAATTTGGAAAGTCTTGCAGAATAAATATGACATTGAAAAGGCAGGTGCTAAAAAATATGCAGCAAGCCACTTTTCCCGCTATCAGATAATAGATGGAAAATCAGTGGTGAAGCAAGTACAAGATTTTCAGATGCTAGTGGCTGAAGTTAGATCTGAAGGCATCAAAATTGGAGACAATCTTGTTGTGACAGGTATTATTGACAAACTACCATCATCTTGGAGGAAGTTTCAAAAGTCAATGCGTCATAAGCAAAAAGAGACATCCTTGGAGACTCTAATCACACGGATTCGGGTGGAGGAGGAAGCACAAGGACAAAATGTGGTTATGACACAAGAGCATTCTACTGCAAATGTAAATTTAACTTCTGAAAATACTTTACCTAAAGGCCGATTTCGTAAAAATAGTCACTTTGAAGCCAGTTAAGAAAATCTGGAAAAATACTGGAAGGTCACAAAATAAAAATTACCCGAGGCAAAAGAAATGGAACCAAGAACTCCCTTCACAAGATCTGACAAATATGACATGTTTTGTGTGTGGCAAAAGTGGGCATATTGTTCGAACTTGCAAATTTCGGAAACAACAGTCTCGACCACAGGCTAATGTTATCGAGGAACTGTTTGTGGCTATGATTATAGATATTTTTATGGTTCAATCTTTCGAAGGGTGGTGGGCAGACTCTGGTGCCAATAGGCATGTTTGCTATGATAAAGATTGGTTCAAAGATTTTACTTCTTTTAATGAGGAGAGGACTATTATGCTTGGTGATTCTAGTTTAACCAAGGTGCTCGGGTGTGGGGATATTGAGCTGAAATTTACCTCTGGATGTGTGCTTGTTTTAAAAGATGTGTTGTACACACCGTCCATGAGGAAAAATTTGATGTCGAGTTATTTGCTCAACAAAACTGGTTTCAAGCAGACTATTAAATCTGACCATATGTAATCACTAAAAAAGGCATATTTGTGGGGAAAGGGTATGCCTGTGATGGAATGTTTACATTAAATGTTGAGAACAAAAAAGCACATGTTTCTGTTTACATGTTGTCTTCTATGAATTTTTGGCATGCTCGTTTGTGTCATATTAATAGCTAATACGTGGGAGTCATGAGTAGTTTAGGATCAATTCCTAGACTAACAAATAAGTTTGAGAAATGTGAAGTTTGCAGTCAAGCAAAAATAATTAAAAGGCCTCATAAAAGTGTGGTGAGAAATACTGAATTGTTAGAATTAATTCACAAATAAAGGGACACGTTACGTGAGGTGTCTTATACTTGATGTGTCCCCTGAATAATAGTGTTAGCAGGTATTTTAATATTATAATGTGTTATAGCCACTGCAAAGGTAAATTTAACTTCTGGAAATACTTTACCTAAAGGCCGATTTCATAAAAATAGTCACTTTGAAGCCAGTTAAGAAAATCTGGAAAAATACTGGAAGGTCACAAAATAAAAATTACCCGAGGCAAAAGAAATGGAACCAAGAACCCCCTTCACAAGATTTGACAAATGTGACATGTTTTGTGTGTGGCAAAAGTGGGCATATTGCTCGAACTTGCAAATTTCGGAAACAACAGCCTCGACCACAGGCTAATGTTACCGAGGAACCATTTGTGGCTATGATTATAGATGTTTTATGGTTCATAGATATTTTTATGGTTCAATCTTTCGAAGGGTGGTGGGCAGACTCTGGTGCCAATAGGCATGTTTGCTATGATAAAGATTAGTTCAAAGATTTTACTTCTTTTAATGAGGAGAGGACTGTTATACTTGGTGACTCTAGTTTAACCAAGGCGCTCGGGTGTGGGGATATTGAGCTGAAATTTACCTTTGGATGTGCGCTTGTTTTAAAAGATGTGTTGTACACACCGTCCATGAGGAAAAATTTGATGTCGAGTTATTTGTTCAACAAAACTGGTTTCAAGCAGACTATTGAATCTGACCAATATGTAATCACTAAAAAATGCATATTTGTGGGGAAATGGTATCCCTGTGATGGAATGTTTAAATTAAATGTTGAGAATAAGAAAGTACATGCTTCTGTTTACATGCCGTCTTCTATGAATTTTTGGCATGCTCGTTTGTGTCATATTAATAGCCGATATTAATTCCCAAACTAACAAATAAGTTTGAGAAATGTGAAGTTTGTAGTCAAGCAAAAATAATTAAAAGGCCTCATAAAAGTGTGGTGAGAAATACTGAATTGTTAGAATTAATTCACGCTAATTTATGTGAATTTGAAGGAATTTTAACACATGGTGGAAATAGATATTTTATCACTTTTATTGATGATTTTTCAAAATACACTTATGTATACTTGTTGAAAAAAAAAAGTGATGCTTTTGAAAAATTTAAAGAATTCATTCTTGAAGTTGAAAATAAATTCGGTAAAAAGATTAAAAAATATAGAAGTGATAGAGGTCAGGAGTATGAATCTTTTGGATTCAACTCGTTTGCTCAGTCTTTGGAAATAATCCATGAAACTACTCCACCGTATTCACCTGCATCTAATGGTGTAGTAGAAAGGAAAAATAGAATTTTAACTAATTTAACAAATGCTATGCTAATTGAAGCAGATGTTCCTTCAAATTTGTGGGGAAAAACAATTTTAACTACATGTTATGTTATGAATAAAGTGCCACATAAAAAAACAAAATTTACACCTTTTGAGTTATGGAAAGGGCATAAGCCAAATTTGAGGTATTTGAGGGTTTGGGGTTGTCTAGCTTTTGTTAGACTTGTGGACCCTAAAAGACCTAAATTAGGTGTGAAAGCTGCCACTTGTGCTTTTCTTGGATATGCAACAAATAGTACAACCTATAGATTTTTTGATATTGAAAACAAAATAATTTTCGAATAAGGTGATGCAATTTTTCATGAAGAAAAATTTTCTTTTAAATCTAAAAATGGTGGGGGTCAAAATTATCAAGAAAATATTTTATTTGAAACCGGTTCCTTTACTCCTCTTTTACAAAACCAAGATACTGTAGTTTTTGAACCTAAAAGGAGTAAAAGAGCAAGATTAGAAAAAGATTTTGGCCCTGATTATCATATTTTTAATGTGGAGGGAACTCCATTAACTTTACAAGAAGCTTTGGCATCTCCTGACTCTATTTTTTTGGAACGAGGCTGTAAATGATGAGATGGAATCATTATTATCCAATAAAACTTGGGTATTAGTAGATTTACCATCAGGTTGTAAAACTATTGGCTGTAAATGGGTTTTGAGAAAAAAACTTAAACCGGATGGAACTATTGATAAATATAAAACAAGACTTGTTGCAAAAGGTTTTAAATAACAAATAGATCTTGAATTTTTTGATACATTTTCTCCGGCTACTAGAGTTACATCCATTAGATTATTAATTGCAATGGCTACAATTCATGATCTAAAAATTCATCAAATGGATGTTAAAACAGCCTTTTTAAATGGAGACTTGGGTGAAGAAATCTATATGGATCAACCTGAGGATTTTGTGGAACTCGGTCAAGAAAGCAAAGTGTGCAAGCTAGTTAAATCCCTATATGGCTTGAAACAGGCCCCTAAACAGTGGCATGAGAAATTTGATTCCTGCATGATTGAGAATGACTATAAAACAAATGAATGTGATAAATGCATCTACTATAAATCTGAAGAAAATTCACATGTCATTATTAGCCTCTATGTGGATGATTTACTTATATTTGGCTCTAATTTGCATATCATCGTGGAAACTAAAAATATGCTTAGTAGCCATTTTGATATGAAAGATCTTGGTGAGGCTAATTATATTTTGGGAATGAAAATTACCAAAACCTGTGATGGCATATTTTTTGATCAATCGCATTATGTTGAGAAAATTTTGAGAAAATATAATTTTTATAAGTGCAAGCATGTTCTTACTCCTTTTGATCCTTATGTGAGTTTACTTCTTGTTGAAAATGATGAGGATGTGATTAATCAAAAGGAATATGCTAGTGTGATTGGTAGCTTGCGTTATACGACTGACTGTACTAGACCTGACATTGCCTATGCAGTTGGAGCACTTAGCAGGTTTACTAACAAGCCTGGCTGTGATCACTGGCTAGCCATTGAGCGGATTATGAAATATTTATCTGGTACCATAAAATATGGCTTGTTTTATAATAAGTGTCCTGTAGTACTTGTAGGTTACAGTGATGCCGATCGGAATACCTTATCAGTGATTCATTATCAACCACTGGTTACTTATTTATATTGGGATGTGGTGCTATAAGTTGAAAATCGAAAAAACAAACCATTATTGTTAATTCAACAGTGGAGGCTGAGCTTATTGCTTTAACTACAACTAGTGAAGAAGCAAATTGGTTGAGAGATTGGTTAAATGAAATCTCTTGTTAGGAAAAACCGATTCCACCTATATTGATTCATTGTGATAGCACCGCAGCTATTGGTCGAGTTAATAATCGTTATTATAACGTTAAATCCAGACTTATCAGAAGAAAACACAGTATTGTGAGATCTTACATGAATAATGGCATCATAAATGTGGATTATATTAAATCTAGTGATAATCTTGCAGATCCATTAACTAAGGCCTTAGCAAGAGATAGAGTCTGGAATACATCGAGGGGGATGGGGTTGAAGCCCATTGAATATGGCAAGAGCCATGTATGAGGATACTTAACCCAGGGACCAGAGATCCTGTAACTGGGTTCAATGAGAAAAACGATCATATGATGACTGTGAGAAATGCACTAAATTACTTTTTACCCATCCTTATGATGTAAGTGCATTTATCCTGTAACGTTGTAGAGGTTGAGTTATTAAAAAACTCTTAATGAATTTCTGTAGCTCTTATTGAGTGGGGTGTCATAGTTGCAGGAGCACCCTTGATAGAATTCACCTATGTGAGTGTAGTAGTAGGGCCGTTACCTATGAGATTTGGGCTAATTCTCAAACACACTCCTGAATCTTCGGATCGCACAAGGCCGTAATGTGCTTGCTCTTAAAGCTTATGTGAACACCTGGAATATTATGTGTGTGCAATAATTATTTATTTTGTTTAAGCAGTCATAGTTCAATGCTGAGCATACTATTGGCTTTGGAGTAGATATTATTGTTTCACTAATGGAGGTTCAATGCAGAGCACACCTACCATGATGCATAATATCATTCTTTGCCTAATAATCTTAGATGTTGTTTCCTATAATATTAAAATAGGTGGGGGAATGTTAGCAGATATTTCAATCTTATAATGTGTTATAGATTGGGCTCCAAGTAACTTGTTCTCCTAGTTAATCCTTTCTTTTTCTCCAAAAATCCTCCAAGTCAAGTCTTCTTCTCCAAGTCTTCCAAGTCTTACCCACCAAGTCAAGTCTTCTTCTCCTCCAAGAATCTTGTCCACAAAGTTTCCTCTTCTCCAAGACACCTGCCCACCAAGTTTCCTCTCCTATAAATTGAGCCTTTCACCTCTCTTATTGTGAGCTCAAGTTTCTTATTTGTGAGATTATCAAGAAAATAAAAAAGGGTGTATGTGTAAAGCTTTGTGCAGTATTGGTTAACCATATGACTTAGTCGGGCTGTTGTATCTTGGGGGGGACAAGTCAATGTTTTTTCTACTGCACCGATATGAGGCTTTGCCTAGCTTAGAGGGCTTGAATCTCCTTAAAGAGAGCACATTTCCCACGCTTCAGCCCTTACAATAGTTATTGTAATTTTTATTATTTGTATTTTCTGGTGTTTTATTTGTAATTATCACCAACACTATGGTTCTCTGCGTACCAACCTTCACTACTTGATCCAGGAGTCATCAAGTACATCAACGAGGTCTGGAACTTCAACAATAAGACTATGATCGTGTCGATAGATCCACAAGGCACAGTTGTGAATCATAATGCAATCTATATGTGTTGGATTTGGGGAAATCGTGCTTTCCCATTTTCTAGCATGAGGGAGGAAGCACTCTAGGAGGAGATGGCTTGGACGATTGAGTCGCTGGCAGGATACATCGATCGTTAATTGGGTAATATGACCTTTTTTTTTTTTTTCTAATTGCCGCTCAATGCTCACTACAACATATAAGAATTTTGAGGGACAATTAGAAAAAAATAAAAATAAAATCCAAAGAAATAAATTTTTAATTTTTAATTTTATTAATTCAAACCTTAATTTTTTGATTTAAACTCCAATCTAAACAATTTATCTATTTTCATTAAGTAAAACTGATGAAATAATAATATTTTAGTTATTAAGCTCAATGTAAGTATACATAAAATGTTTACGATATTATTTTTCATTGAGTTTAATTATTGAAATACTTTTTTTTGGGGGTCAATTTTACTTAATGAAAATAGCTAAATGGTTTAAATTAAAAGCATATCAAAAATTTATGGTTTAAATTGATAAAATTAAAAGTTCATGATTTATTTTGTTATTAAAATCAAACTTTGGGATTCTTTTTTTTTTTTTTTTGTAATTTCCTTGAATTTTAATGTGAAAATTTTGTGGCTAAAAAATATTATAAGAGACTAATTTCCATCGTCATGACAATCGTCACTAAAAGTCTACGCTGACAACATTTTAAAAATATCGTTAATAAATAGATACTTAGTAAAAAAACAATTTTGAGCAGAAAATGTCTACTTTTTAAGATGAAAATTTTTGTTCTCAAAAAAAAAAAAAATTTCTTTTTTTACTAAATATCCAATTTGGCTGCTAAAAATACAATAATAACAATTTTCACAACTAAGATACTTTAACGCTAAAAGGTGATTTTATTTTTAATTTTTATCTTTAAAATCTTAATTTATTATAGTGGCTTTATGTAAGCAAGTACATATGTTTGAATACAATCAACAATGTTCCGTTTGTTTTGGCTGAAACAAAATAGTTTTTCGCAAACAAATATGTTTTCCTTTCTTTGGTTGTGTCATTGAATTAATGTACTAATAGTTATATTAGTAGTGATAGTGGCGTGTTCATTTTAATGGTGGAGGTGATTGTAAGTGTGGTAATATAGTGACATTCGTAAGACTTTTAGTCCAAACTTTTTTTTAACTTTCAAAAGTATAAACATTTTTTGCCTAAATAAATTTGTTTTTTTATAAACAATGAAAAAAGTTTTCTATTGACCAAACCTCAGAGATTGCAAAGAACATTTTTCAAAAAATATTTTCAATCAAAACAAATAAAACATTATAACACATACTTGTTCTGTACATGTACCAAAAAAAAAAATGCTATCCATAAGTCGATTTCTTTATGAGGAAAAGTGTAGTTTACGTTTACCCTTATCTAAATATAAAAATGTGATCAATTTGGAAAGGCGATCCAACCAATGTGGGAAGTTGTCCCCTTAGCTGTTTTGTGGTCAATTTGGAAAGCTAGGAATGAATGCCTTTTCCATGAAAAGAATGTTGATGGGCTTGAGTTGGCTGAGTTGGTGAAAGTGAGGGTAGCACTTTGGTGTAAGCAAAGTTATAGAGGTCTGCATTATTTAATGGAGGACATTGTCAATAATCTTGATAGGATCAAAGCCTGATTGAGGTAAGGGTGGTGGCTATAAGGGTGCAGGATTTTGTTCAATCTGTAACAGAACTCTGCTCTGCCTTAGTTTCTGCTGTCAGATTTTGCAACAATATTTTTTGGTGATTTCCTGGTTTGATTGAATACCCGTTCTTCATTGATGATGTACAGATCGAAACTGGGTGTGTTTTGTGTAGAAGGAATTGAAGGGCTACAGTGCAGTTCTGGTTTATCCCTGCCCTGGCTCTGTTTACTTGAAGGGCTGATGTGTAGTTCATGGTTTATTTCTGCTATCTACCTGTTCATGGTTCAATAGTCATTTTTGGTCAGCTAGTGCTGGTTCATGTATTTGTAGGTCTGCAGTGTTGATATGATGTTGTCTTCAATACCTCATAAGGCTTTGTGATGGTAGGGTGTGAATTGCTCTGCTGCTGTATGTCTATTTTGGTAACTAGGAGGTTGGAGCATGTCTATCTGCTGCTGATTTTGGAAATCTATTGTGAAGTATGGAAATTGATCTGCTGTTGCTGTCAATTAGGTGTTGCTATGCTTTGTTTTGTGTTGTTGGTTTCTCATCAACTAGGAGGTTGGAGCTTTTTCTAGCTCCAAACTCCTCTTTTGATGTTTTGCTTATCATATGTAATTTATATGTGGTTCATCAATAAAGTTTTCTTTTGCCGATCAAAAAATATATATATATATATATGTGTGTGTGTGTGTGTGATTTTTTATTGACTACTTCAGATTGCTTTTGAAAAGTACATTTGCTTGCATGGAGGAGAGGACCTAGATTGGATCAAGCGCTTTACCAACACAGCAAAAGTTGTTGGAAAAGCCACCCAGATCCCATTAGAGTTGTTGTATGTAGGAAAAAGCAACCCAGGGAGAAAGGTAGTGAAGATCAACAATGTCATTATGGTGGAAAACCTCAGCCACACAATGCCAGACCTAATTCTAATATGGCACTTCTGGGATAGGTTTGAGAGCATGTGGCACTCCAAGAAGCAATACGGCAAGTCTGTAGGGAACGATCCCATAATGAAAGAAATAAAGTCAATATTCATGGAGGAGAGGACCTATATTGGATCAGGCGCTTTACCAACACAGCAAAAGCTGTTGCAAAAGCCACCCAGATCCCATTAGAGTTGTTGTATGTAGGTAAAAGCAACCCAGGGAGAAAGGTAGTGAAGATCAACAATGTCATTATGGTGGAAAACCTCAGCCACACAATGCCAGACCTAATTCTAATATGGCACTTCTGGGATAGGTTTGAGAGCATGTGGCACTCCAAGAAGCAATACGGCAAGTCTGTAGGGAACGATCCCATAATGAAAGAAATAAAGTCAATATTGAGCTTTGATAAAAGTGATCAAGGATGGGCTATGATCAGTCGAGGAGGCCCGACTGAGATGGCTAAAGCTAAGGGTAACACTATTTTGAAAAGCTTAAACCAATTTGAGAAATGGAAAGATCGTGTAAAAGAGGTTGATTTTTTGACTGCATTCAATGAAAATCTTAATGAGCTTGGTTCGCTAGATCACTGCAACTCTTTGATCATTCTCTGCGCTGAAAGAAGCAGCAGCATTTCTGAGATGCGTACTTGTGATGAATGTGGCCACCCTATGGAGGAGTTTATCGTGTTTAGTTGAATTATTAGTGACTAATAAGTTAAGCAAGCTCATAATCCTTCGAGGAGAGGAATGACTTTAATAGGGATATAATTAAGCCCATTTTAATGAAGAGCGATTACCAGCATTACTACCTTTTTCTAAAAGAAAAACTCGAAACTGACCTAGAATTTCAGATTACGGTATAAATTTGATCTAGTTTGGGAGACACTCCATGAATAAATCTAATCCCCAAACTAGTTTAAGGTGTAAGTATATATAGATTGTTTTTCAAAAATGTTATAAACCTCCACCCTTATCAACCATAATTCATCCCCAATGTGTTTGATGAAATTTGAAATTCATAAGTAAAATAAATTTGAACCACTGATTACTTTTTCTAAAAAAATTCTAGGTTCATAAGTTGGGATTTATAATGTTGCTGTTTGTTTTTGGATTCTATTTGTTGCTATTGATCTATACGTGGTGTCACTTGCAAAAGTGGTGTTCAAGCTAGCTTATTAGAAGAATTCCAAACATTAGCTATGAGCTCCACATTTCAGTGAGCATGAATTGCCTTATTCACACAAACTAATTGAGATCACCAAGGATCCTCTAGAGTGAAATTTTTCTAAAGTTTCCTAGAGTGCTAGATTGTGTGGTTGAAATTTATTGGCAAGTCACATCAGAAAAATTGATGTGACTTGCCAGTAAATCTTAACCACACAATGTAGCACTCTAGAAAACTTTAGAGAAAAATCACTCTAGAGGATCCTTGCTCAATTGAGATGATCTACAGAACTAATGAAATTAAACCCAAAAAAATTCACTCCCATGCACAATTTGCAGATTTTTGGGCCCTTTTGTGCCACCAATACAAGGCATTGAGATTTTGAAGATTTTGGGCTCAAAGAAGCAAAATAGTAATGGGCCATATAGGGATTAATTTCAAGGATATTTGAAGCAATTTTGAAATTTTTTGGGGTTGTGTAGTTTTATTTTTATTTCTTTCAAGTAGCCCTATAGATTGGTCCACCTTTGGCAACATAGGGTGTGATTGACCCGGCTCCAAGTAACATGACTTTATTTTTGCATCGTTCTCTCTCTCTCTCTCTAGTTTCTCTCTCTAATTTTCTCTCCTAAGGTTGCTGTTGGGGCTGCTTTTTTTGGTGGGGGGGGCCTCCGGCCTCTCTCTGGCCGTCTCTTTCCTCTTTCCCCTTTTTTCATTTACTTTTTTTGCAAAATAACTCTTGGGAGATTATTCTTCCCACTCTCTCCCTTCTTGTGAGGTGCTTCTTTCCCTAGGGTGGAAATTTTTTTGCGTTTTCTCCTCCTCCACCCCCCAATCGGAGCTAGATTTGCCACTTCTCCACTGCCTTTCACTATTTCATGCTGCCACAACCACAACACCAACAGATCTGCCACCCATCGTTTCTTCTCGCTGCCGACACCACCACCACCACATCGTGGCCATTCTTTCACCAGATCTGATCTTTCTTCTCCAAATCTTTGATTTGGTTTGTTTCTTTTTGAGTTTTTTTTTTCTGTTTTTATTTTGTATTTCAATTTGTTTGGGCTTCATAAGTGTGATTTTGGTAGCTTACCCTCTCTGGAGTGAAGCTTTTGTGGTATCTCCGACTAGCCTAGTGCTGATCTCTTATAATCGCTTCTGCTTTACAGTACGTGTTAGGATCGTGTATGATCACGTCTTTGATATTATTTTAGCTTTGCTTATGTGTCATTTGCTCATTTTTCCTTTGATTAGGGTAAGTTCTATTTGTGTAAGCATGGACTCTTTTATAAGTGCCGTTTTGGCTTATCATTAATGGATTTTTCTCCCATTCAAAAAAAAAAGTAACATGACTTTAAAGGCCTGACTACAGTGGGTTCAACCCTAAACTCTTACAGATTTGGTAGTGGTGATACAAAGTAATGGTAAAGATTTTAAAAATTTTATTAAATATTTAATATTTGTGTAGGACTCACATTATGTGAGTCGTACGTAAATTTCAACATTTAATAGAATTTTTGAAATTTTTAATATTTTTAAGTGATATATTTAAACTTATATAAAAATTCTCAATAACTTTGTCATTTATTGAAAAGGATTCATAGTAGTTCGAGACTATTAAGAAAACAAACTTAATTCATGTACAACCCAATCCTACCAACCAGGACTAGAGCAAAATTTAAAATTAACTTGTCAGTGTAAGGAAAGTTTCTAGAACATCTCAAACAAAATTCATTAAACGTCTAGTTTGTAAATAAATTATTTTAGGAATTTTTTTATTGTTTATAAAAATAAAAATAAAAAGAATAATATGACAATTTATAATAATTTTTTACTCAAAATATTTAGTTTCCAAACAAAACTTTTTAATATTAATCTTTAATTTTTTTGGATAAATTACAAATGCATCCCTGATGTTTGATTAAAATACAAATAATCTCCTTGATTCTAGAAATTACATTTCACCATGATATTTTTAATTTCATAACAAATCGCTCATTTTATTAATAAATCATCAAGTCAATTAACAATTTTTAATGATATTATAAATATGTTTCAATTAATAATTTAGATAATTTTATTATTGTATATGAGAGTAATTATAAATTTCTTTTTTTTTTAATTAATTCTATTAAATAATTTTTTTAATAAGGGATTATTTATAATTTTTTAAACTACAAGGATAATCTATACTTTAAGCAAACCTCAAAGGGTGTATTTGTAATTTACCTTAATTTTTTTTTAATAGAAAAGTTACAATAAAAACTATAAGATTTGATAAAGCTTAAATTTTTAATTTTGTCAATTTTAATTTGTTATTAATTTAAAACATTTAAATATTTTAATCATTATATTCAATTTAAGTGTACTTAATGATTAAATCATATTTTTTTGGGTCAATAATAGATAAATATTCAGATTAAAATTAAATTAAAAAACTAGTATTTAAAATGATAAAAATTGAAAATTGAAAATTTAATTTATTATAAGACTCATGCGACCTTTTTTTAGTTCAAATTTATATATATATATATATCTTGTTCTTGTCTGCACTTCCCACAGACGGCGCCAATTGTACGGGGAGGAAATAATTCTCCTCGTATAATCCTGTTGACCAATTCCACGCTCCTCCGTACGACGTCGCTTTATCACCTGAAAACACAAACGTGAGCTAGCCGGCGGGTGTGTGCCGGAAACCTCTCCGATGCTTAAGTCAGTAAGCTTGACAAATAGACAAAAGCTCTGTGTATTCCGAAAGCAAAGTTGTGTATTACCTCTCCAAAGGTGATGTTTGTGAGCTTTTATAGGTTTCGTGTGGCACAATCCTAGTAGGACTTCTACTCCTCCATGCAGAGTCCTCCTAGGATTCATACTCTTAAAGGGATAATGCTTATCTTTCAACACCCCCCTCACTGCTTAAACCAAGTGAGATGGTTTTTCCATGGCCGAACTAACATACGACCGAAGTAATCACGACTATGCTTAGCCGAACCATACTTAGTTCGGTTCTCTGTCCATAGTTTTCAACAAACCATGTATGCCCAAAACCGAATTATCTTTTATCAAGGTTTAGACCAATCTTGTTTCACTGCGCCATGACTGGTATAAGTTCAAAGCATCCTTAAACCGGTCTAACTATAAAGCGTCCTTTGACCGGACTAACATTAAGCACCACTCGGACCGGTCTACCTTCTAGGCTTGAGACCGCGCTAACTTTAAGCCTCTTCAAGGCCGGAGTAACTTTATGACTTCTTTACTCAGCCCTTCATACTGAGGCCCATAAAGGCCCAGCTCGGCCCAATTCGCATATAAATTACCCTCTCAATTACCCCTTAATTCCATTTGCATAGCATGATAGGGATTACCTGTTTATCAGCCGAGCTAAACTATCTTTTAGCCTCTCCAGCCGAGCTAAAACCTTTTAGCTTTTCCAGCCGAGCTAAAACCTCCAGCCTATACAGCCGAGCTAATTACACACCGGGCTCTGCTTGTCCAGTCAAAAACGTCTCTTCAATCACAGCATCTAAATCGTTTCTCCTTCCCATGACACGTGGCACGTCCTTATTGGCCTATTGCAGCTGTCACGCCGCCTTCGTACTTCGTATAATTTGAACAGTTCCCGCCTTTTGCCCCTTCTCTTCCCACAAAACAATCCTTTGTTTCTGAATCACTTACCCTATTCTCTTTCTTCTCTCCTTTCGCCTCCATTGTTCTCCATCTTTTGCAACTGTGAAGCTCGTGCTCGCTGCTATTTTCTACTTCCATTTCCTTCTCTTTACCTGGTAAGTTTCTCAAACCTGTTTTGCTTTTGTGGTCTTTGCATTTGCTTTCTTTCATTCGTGGCACACTATTTCTGTTTTTGCAAAAAATATTTTCTTGCTCTATCTTGCGTTTTCTAGGAAAAAACTTCATAAGAACCCCATAAACTTCATGAAGCTGTCTGCAGAACACTTAGTTTGATCCATAATTACCATATAACCGAACTAAAAAGTAGTTTGTAGTCTGTCATTCTATCAGACTACTTA